TTGCGGTGAAGTCCTAAATCCCCTCGCGTCTGCCTTTGCATTCTTGATGTGGCTTCAAGGTGCGAAACTGGGGTCTAGACTAGTAGCGCCTAGGGCCTGAGTCGCCTTGAGTTCATCTAAATGTGTCGACTAGTGCCTCCGTGAGCGTCAAACATACCTGCAAGTAGGAGATACCATGACATACCGGTACGTGCTCAAAGCGTATGTCAAAGCATCGATGCAATTAGATGACAAACCCACACCCTGTATCAAATCTCACTACTCGCACTTCATCCTGTTTCTCAAAAATATCCAAGAAAACCTCTTTCCATGCCTGATATCAACCCTAGCACAATACCTGTGCCTTTCCCGCCTATGCCCACACGTCACACAACATCCTCCCCAAGATCCGAGCTACCCAAGCGCCCGGCACAAACGAGATCGAACAACCCCCCAGCCCGGTTTCTGTATATTGAGTCTTGACCGTGCCAAAGCAAAAGCTCCATTTTAGTCGTGGCAATTATCTTTCCTAGGCCAAGCGTCGGGAAAATTTAATTTATTTGACATGCGGCAAATAAAGTGTTTGAGGACCGGCGCTTGGACCATGACTTGCACACGTGATGTGAACGTAGCGTGGATGATGGGATACTTTTTGACCGTTTTGGCAATGGAGAGATAGTCGGGGTTGGTAGGAGAGATTCATTGATCATATGGAGTATGATGATGGGTGTATTTTGAGAGAAATTGCTGATGAGGTGCTGGTTACAATTGCGATGTTTTTAAAGTCAGAATAAGTCGCCCGACTTAGTTGAACATCTTCCATCACCATAGCAGGTACCGCTGTCATTTGCCTAAGCTCGCTATTCCAAACATGGAAGCGCAATCATACAGCGTATTATGCCCTGGCTTGAGATCCGAAGCTTTCATGGAGACATTCCGGGAGTGAGACGCGTGACGAGCACCTGATTGTGACAAAACAGCTAGTATGATTTACACCAGCTTTTCTTATGTACACGCACCATTCGAGGGAGGAAAGCCCAGAAGACTAGCAATATCTCGTTGCAGTAGCGGAGACCTGTGAAAAACCCACCCATTTGTACAACGCCGCCAGCGCCTTGTTTTTCTCCCAAATCCCCCAATGGTATCATTATGCTGTGAAGTAGATGCGCCGTCCATATTACGCCAACAAATGCTGTTCTACGCCCATCTAGGCATTCTAAATGATCGTCATGCCTCTATTTTGGGTCTCACTTTCATCCCTCGTCGACTTCGCCCTCTGCGTCCATGTCTTCTTCCTGTTCGCCCCGCAGAGCAGGAGGCAACTTGGTTCGCACAAGCTCAAAGTCTGCTTGTGCTTTCTGCGCCTCCTCGAACAATCCATTCTGTTGGTACGCCATCATACATAGGCCAGCGGCAACCGCCATCCAAAGCGGTTTACCGCTCCGGAGTGCGATACGCCTCGTGGCGTCTATCGCTTTGGCCCAATTTGGAGCGTCCACGAAGAATCTCGCAGTGAACACGCTCAGGGCCATGATGACAAACTCAGCATTGTTTGTAGCGCTAAAGACATCTCTGGCTCGATTGCTCGCCGACTGCATCTGTGTCTTCTGGCGATTGATCGTCACATTCTCGCTGATCATGCCCTGTAGAATGCGGAATGCTGTTCTGATGTACTGATTCGAGTGGTTACCGCTTATTTGTTGTAGTGCTACTACCAGTGTATTTGCAGTGTGATGCTCAGGGTGAGATGGGTTGCGCACAATGAGGAAGCGGTTAAGGGCCGCAAGTATCGCGAGATCTAGGTTCATGCCTGGTGAGGTTGCTGCGTCCGGTAAAGCGAGCTCTTCCGAGGAGTACGCAGTAAGAGCGGAACTCAGTGACCCTTCAGTTTGATAGATGACGGCTGACAAGAATGATAGGGACCGAGTAAACACCCCCTGATTGTTGTAAGGAGGTTTTGCAATCCGGCCCTTAAGGATTGACAACGCATCCTTTGCCTTGGAATTTTGACAGCGAGCCAGTGACATCAGACCCAAAGCGAACACGTTGTGCCAATCGAGGACACGAATCCAGTCTGCCTGAGCCTGAGCAATGCTGACCGGTGCATCGAACGCGGTCTGACGTTTCAGCGCCTCTCTGGATCGTGAGTGAGCCTCTTCAATAAATCGAAGTCCTTTTTCGTGGACACTTTGATCAAGTGCGCTGATGTGGAAACATAGCGCCTGCATGTCCTCTCGTGGAAGCCAAGAGAACAGGAGCTCGTCTCGTCCATCCGCATTCTTCTCAAAGATCCCACCAGAGTCGCTTGTCAGGCTACCACCGAAGCTCTTCTCAATGAGTACCGTGAAAATCCCAGCATGAATCCTTGCACTCTTTTCCGTCTTGTCCGTCATGACTCCATCGAGCCGAGCTTGCTTCATATGGTCAGGATTGCCTTGTTGAATGCCACAGGCAACATCGACCAGGTCAATGAGAGTGCCGAATGAACCGAGCTGTGTGTTCGATACCTCGAGCTGTAGACTGCGTGCAGCTGCAACAGCTCTCTGGGCTTGTTCAAGTCGGTCTGCTGCGCTAGATCGAAGATGCACCATCGCCTCCATTACACAACAGGCCACGTAAATGGCTCGATCACCAAGCTTTTGGGCATGGGAAGCTATGGCATTCAGCTGCTGTAGCGCAGGGACTACTTCAATACGTCCCGGGACCTGCAAGATGAGTGAAATCTTCAAAAATCTCAGAGCATAGACCCAGGCAATATGCTGAAATGTCTCAGCTTCACTGATCGGTTTGCTCAAAGACTTGATGGCAGCGCGATGATTGGTCTTGAACTGATATCGAGCTTGTAGATGAAAAGTGGCATACTTCAAATCGTGCAGTCGGAAACGTCCACACAGCGATATCTGTTTTGACAAAATTCCCTCAATCTCGGTTGAGTTGTCCGTCTCGTCGATTAACAAGCTAGCATACCTTAAGCGCAGCTTAGCCTCGTCTCGGGGTAGAAGATTGAAGTCCTTCAATACAGATTCCATACATGCCATAGCCGTCGCCATGTATTTTTGGTATTGATGTATATCTGCTTGTCTCTTGTGGCGCAGAATGACGGCGCTCATACCGCGTGCTGCAGCAATGTATTCGTCTGCGGCGGAAAGTAGCATGACCGAGAGGTCCGCTGGGAGTTGCTTCCGTTGCGTATGAACATGCTTCGTTGGAGTGAGCTGATGTGACGAGGGTTTCGAGATGACAACTTTAGGGTGTGATTTGGGTCTGGGTGAGGGATCTTGTACAGACGGAGTCCGCTCGTGCTTAAGGGGGGCTTGTGCTTGAGATGGCGCACGCTGCGCTGGTACAGACTGGGGCTGGAGAGGCGTGCGATGCTGGTTCTGGTTCTGCATTTGCGTATTCATAGGCCGCTGCTGCGGGCGAGGAGCATTTTCTTGATGCGACTGCGACCTTTCCACAGGCTTCGTTGCAGGCGAGGCTACAGACTGCTGAGAACTGTACCGCCGTTGTAGCTCTGCCACGCCATCCATCTGCGGAATCGCATTGCCGGGCCGCTGCACCGGCACCTGCACTTGTACCTGAGCCTCCCGTGGTCGAGGGGGCTGCATCTGCATAGCGGACGATGGATGCGAGTGGGGGTTCCTTGCAGGAATAACGACTTGGGGCTGTATACGCGGCTGGATTTGCTGTTGGTGGTTCTGGTTCATCTGCGGCTGCATCTGCATTGGCTGGGCCATCTGTTGCGACACTGGCATACCCATTGGCGGGTAGTGTTGGCTCGACTGCCGAGGTGGTGTCGCCTGATTGTAGTTCTGGTATTGCTGCGGCGGCGGGTAGCCCCCAGAAGTCTGCATGGGCATTGGGGCATATTGCTGCTGGTACTGTGGTGGATAGCCTTGCTGCGACGGCTGCTGCTGTTGCTGCTGTGCCTGTGGCTGCGGGTATTGGTATCCATTTGGTTGCTGAGGATGATTATAGGGCGCATATTGGCCGTTGGGAAAGCCTTGCGGCAGCCAGTTGTAGCGAGGGTCCATTGTTGAAGAATTTGCCGGGTGAGCGCAGTCACCACCACATGTCGATGTTTGGGCGCAACATGGCGAACGAGCGAGGGCAGGGTGGTGAAAGTGAAGATGCGTTGACGGTGACGGTAGTCGCGAACATGGTAGAGTAGTCGCGACCGCGATGTCACCTGCGCTGCCGTCATTGGCCGACAAGCGCGCGTGTCGTCAGCCACTTACAGTCAACCGCCAGGGACACTACCACGGTAACTAAATACAGACTATCACCGAAGGAGCCGAGGCTCGTTTTCAAATCGACTTTGTATTTTGATACACACTTCGTTCTGCTTTCACTCGCATACTACTAGATTCTGCGTCTTTCTGCCTTCACTCAGCAAGTAATCAAATTCAACGTCCAGTTCTGGTTATGAACACAGAAGCAGCCAATAAAAAGGCCTGATTAACTCCTTCTCTACACTACATAACAGGAGTTCTACATTCGTCGATATTTTCACCGCATCTCATCGAATTCGAGAAAGAGTTAGACAAGCTATAGACAAAAGAAGCTATAAAGCTAGGAACACGGCATAGCTCAGCGTTACTGTAATTAGCCCAGAGACATCGAACAGGGAATATCAGGAACCAAATCCACAAACGACAACAAGTGTATATACCGCCTAGAACATGTTCGACATATCCTGGATATTCGGCCATGGCAAAACATCCTACACCTCCCACAAATCACCCGCACCCCTTAAAACCAAGTCGGGCAAAGATACCACCCTCCCAGAACTAGCCGCCTCCTCCATCCCCCCATGTCGTCTCAATCCCTTCCTCTTCAACGGCCATCTCCAAACCATGTATACAGCCGTCAAAGACCCCGGTCCTCCAATCCACTACAAGCGTCAAATCTTCACCTCAGACCACCCCGTCTACCCAGGCACCTTCGCCATCGACTTCGTCGTCTCCCCCACCAAAGCCAGCAGTCCAGCAGCAGACGCAGACGCAGACACGGCCTCCTCCCCCACCCTCCCAGAACGCACCACCAACTTCCTTCCTGAAGAATGGACCAGCCTCCCGAACCCCACCGACACCACACCCATGCTCATCGCCCTGCATGGCTTAACTGGCGGCTCCCATGAAGTCTACCTCCGCGAGACCCTCGCCCCCCTAACCAGCAACGGCTGGGCCGCCTGCGTCGTCAACGGCCGCGGCTGCGCCCTCTCCCGCATCACCACACCGCAGCTCTTCAACTCACGCGCAACCTGGGACGTCCGCCAGACCATCAAATACCTGCATGAGATATTCCCCAACCGGCCGCTCTATGCCGTCGGCTTCTCACTCGGCGCCAACATCCTCACAAACTACTGCAGCGAGGAGGGCGACGCCTGCATCCTGAATGCGGCCGTGGCCTGCAGTAACCCCTGGAATCTGGAGCTGTGCAATACCGAGTTGCAGCGCACATGGTTGGGGCTGGAGGTGTATGCGCGCACCATGGGGAAAAATCTCATGGGCTTGTTTGAGAGGCATCGCGAGCAGATTTTGCAGATTGAGGGTGTGGATGAGGAGATGGTGAGGAAGAGTCGGTACATTTTTGAGTTTGATCGACATGTGCAGTGTCCGACATGGGGGTATCCTTCTGAGGGGGCGTATTACCGCGATGCGCAAAGTGTGGATGCTTTGTTGGGCGTCAGGATACCGTTTCTGGGTATCAATGCTGAAGATGATCCGGTAAGTCTTCTCCATTCAAGTTGCAGTTGTATCACCCTTTTTCATTTCTGGTATGCAAGTCATGCTAATGGCGCGTGTACACCAGATCTCCTCCAAAGCAGCCATTCCCTACCAAGAATTCAAACAGAACCCTTACGCCCTCCTCTGTACCACAAACTGGGGCGGCCACCTGGGATCCTTCCAGCTGGGCGGAGGACGCTGGTTCGCCGTCGCCGCATCGTCCTTTCTCGCCAAAATGCACCAGGATATCGACCACGACGCTTCTAGGCTGGAGCGCAAGAAGACAAAGGTCGATACACCAGAGAAGAAGTACCCGATTTTTGACCCAAATAATCGCCGTTTGATATTACCAGATGCGTGAAAAAAGCCTGCTGGTTTGGGGATGGTAGACTTGTAGATGTTTTAGAATTTGGGTTGGTTGGGGTATCATAGACTTTTTTGGTAGACCCGGCGTGAAAACCATAGACATCCTGCTTTATGCACCCCACGTACAGAAACACACACCACATGTTCCTGCTTCTCACAGCCACACAGCCACATGCTCTTGTTCAACCAAAGCTAACGCGTTTCCTCTGCTTGAAATTCCCTTTTGCATCCGTAACCTCTGCCTCCTTTTCCGAATGCCTTCTCCTCTTCTTCTTGAGCGCCGCCTTGCGCTCCTCAAATCGCTCTTTCTTCTCCTCCGAGCGCTCGTCGGCCGCCAGCCGTTTTGCCTCGCGGATCTCTTCTAGTTGGCGGGATTTTGCAATCTTAGACTCGAGGTGGCCTTCCTTCTCGGCGTTGACGACGGACATGATCGCGAGCTGTTATTGCATGGTATGAGTATGGTGTTTCTTGGCTTGCGCAGGATTTGCATGCAGGGTTGAGAGAGCCACGAGGAATTGCGCAGGAGGAAGGACAGAGAGGAGACAAATACATACCATACTAGCAGAATCGTCCACAAAGGTCTTGCCCTTCTTCTGCCCCTTTGGTTTTGCAATGCCCGCGGGTACAATGCCATTCAGCGCCGGGATGTCGAGTTCCTTTTCTGTGTAGACGCGCTTCTTCTTCTTATTGATACCATTCTTCGACGACAGCGATTTTGTCTTTTGCACGCCACCTGGCTTGGCAAGGGACATGGATTTCTGCTTGCGCTTGGAGATGCCCTCTGGTTCTTTGCCGGTGCTGGCGCTGGGTTTGGGTTTCGACGACGACTTGGACGAGGATTTGGACGAGGATTTGCCTTTTGGGCTTTTGCCTTTTGTGGAGGAGCGGATAGGCGCCATTTTGGGGGTGGTGAGGGGGAGATAGGAGGGAAGAAGTGTTGTTGGAGTTGGCAAGTGTATGGTTAGGTGTAGATTTAACTTGAACGTTGTTCGCGCGCTGGGGAACTTTTTTAGAACAAGGATGTCGATTAGATCGGCATGGATGAACCGTGCCCGACGTCAAGCGCTAAAGGACGCAGCCTCGCAGCTCCACTCTCTCTCTCCAGCCAGGCGCAACCGCCAACATCATCAACCGAATCTTCAACACCAAATCACCCACGACAATCCCCGTTTCGTCACCACGCAAATCCCACACCTCTGATCGCGCTCTTCGTATCCACCCCCACCCACGATGGAGGAAAACCGCCTGTTCCGCTTCCCAAAGCCCGCATGGATGAACAGCGCCAACACGCGCACAGCAGGCGTTTACATCGCCGGAGCTCTGGTCCGCCCATGCCCATCCCCTCCACACAATCCCGTCCAGTTATTCTAACACCCCCCGCTGCAGTTCTCCCTGGGTTTCTACACGCTCATCGACATCGCCGTGTGGTCCAAGTCGGCGCTCAACGGCTCTCTGCCCCCCGTCCACATCACCTTTGTCGACTGGATCCCAGGCATCTGCAGCGCGCTCGGCATGCTGGTCATCAACTCGATTGACAAGTCGCGCCTGTCTGCCGATAGCTTCTCGTATAGCGGAAACGGTGTCGCGTGGAAGGCGAGGCTGGTGCTGTTTTTGGGGTTTGCGCTATTGGCTGGCGGTTTGGCGGGCAGCTCGGTGGTGTTGGCGATGAAGTACATTGTGCCGGGGTATAGTTGGCCAACGCTTTGGCTCGGTGTGGGAAATGTGGTGGCGAATGCGCTGGTTATGCTTAGGTGAGTCTGGTGAAGGGGCGATGGGTTTGAAGGGGGTTATGTTGACTAACGTGCTGTAGCTCGGCTGTGCTTTGGATTGCGCAGAATATGGAGGATGAGTACACGTACAATCTGGCGCTCTAAACTATGTGTTTATGAGATAGTTGGGGGTCGAGACGGTCTAATGGACGGCTGGGCTTAATGCGTGTGGGTGTTGTGGACAGCACAGTATGCTTCAGGCAAGCATTTCTAACTTCAATCTTGACGTTTGTGTAAGAATATTTGGGATACCTTCAGCGGCCTCTCTGCATGTTGGGACTATACCATCCTATTTCACCAAGATTCCACGTGCACTTGAACGTTACACCTCTTCAAAGAGTATTCCAATCGACTATGTATTGTGTGCAACATATTCGTACAAAATCGCTCGAGTAGACTATATGAACAGTATCAGACCTGATCCAGGCTGTCCGGATCCCCAAACCGACCGACTAAGTGCGCTCCCGGCGCCTCCACCACGTGCGTTACTCTGGACCCAAACCAATTCCTCGATGGAACTCATTGCTGAGCTCCCCCGGCTAGTCAGAAGTCTTCTTGCTCCTGGAAAAACAGCGTGAAGCTGATGATGGTCGCATATATAGTAAGACCACCCAAGACAGACATGGCTGCGGCACCGCCAGCGATCTGCGCCGAGTGCCAGAGAAGCGTGGGTAGGGCTGTATCCCATCGTTAGCTCAAGTTGCATATGCCCTGGGCGCCTTCATATTCATATTTCTCTCGGGGGTTTCGTCGTGCAGCCTAGCCACAACCCCTTCACATGCCAAGGTCGCAATGTCCTGTGGACAGGAGACTCACCAATACCCATGACGACGAAGAAGCCCGTAAGGAACCTCCCAAAGTCTACAACTCCGCTCCCTGTCGCCTCCATGAAATCATCGCGATTCGCGGCCCGCCCGCAAAGCCAGTTGGGAAGTGGTGCGACTATGTAGGTTGCGACTACCAGGAGTGTGAGGTAGTTTTTGAAGAGCGCGGCGGAGAGAATGACGAGGAGAAAGCCTATGGCAAGGACCTGTTGCATGAGGGTATCAGCGCATTGTTTCCCATGGGCGGGATAAAGCGCATGCATGCGCCTGGGAATCGTACAAAGGACAATCCAATGATGGTCTTGATGCCGGCCATGATGGGGTAGCCGAAGGGGGGGCCCTTCCACTGTCGCCTTGATACACGTAAGAGGCTTCTCGTCGTACTATAGCGTGGTTGTTCCGCCCGGGGTTATGAATGCGATGTTGACTTGTTGGTGTTGTGCTTAGCCGCTGCCTGCCACGAGGTTGCAGTTGGACGCGAGGCGGTCTTGCCAAGGCTCCAGGGCCAGAGCTCTCTGGGGAGCTGTCGTCAACTTCCGCTGCCTTGACCCTCCACAACAACCCAACGAGCCAGCAACCACGCCCCCCACTCACGCCCACTCTTCGGCGCCTCACCTCTACAGAGATTCCTCTTTGAAAGGTTAAAGTCCAGCTGAGGTGTTTTAGATTGGTCGACAATCCGAGTTCTGTTGGACCAAAAGGACATTGAATCACTGTAGTGATACCCCACGTCCTTCGTCGCCATCATGTTCAGGAACAACTACGACAACGATTCGGTCACTTTCTCGCCGCAAGGCCGCATATTCCAGGTCGAGTACGCGCAGGAGGCGGTCAAACAGGGTTCGGTGGTCGTTGGTATCGTTAGCAAGACACACGCTGTGCTTGCAGCAATCAAGGTATGGTAATACTCTCATGAGGCTATTCTATGCTGAGCTATTCTACCTACGTGTGACTATTCAGCATAGTCTTGACGGCGATTGTCAAGTATCCTTGAATCAAAACTCCCCACTGACGCTTTCACAGAGGAATGCCGAAGAACTCTCGTCGTACCAAAAGAAGATCATCCCGATAGATTCTCACTTTGGTGTCGCTCTTGCCGGTCTCGCCTCGGATGCCCGCGTCCTCTCCAACTTCATGAAGCAGCAATCGCTCGCCTCGCGCCTGACATACGACCGTGCCATCCCACTGTCCGAGATCACTTCTCGCATTGCAGACCGCGCGCAGACCAACACTCAGCAATACGGACGGAGACCATACGGTGTTGGTTTACTGATTGCCGGTATTGATGCCAAGGGGCCGCACCTGTTCGAGTTCCAGCCCAGCGGTGTCACACAGGAGATGGTTGCTTGTGGTATCGGTGCCAGGAGTCAAATGGCCAGGACATATCTCGAGAGGCATCTGGATGAGTTTGAGGGCGCCAGCAGGGAGGACTTGATCAAGCACGCGCTGAGGGCTCTGAAGGAGTCGCTCTCACAGGACAAGGAGTTGACCGTAGACAACACCAGTGTTGGTATTGGCGGCATTGGTGAGAATTTCGCGCTCTACGAGGGACAGGACATTGCAGAATGGCTGGACACGACATTTGAGAACCGGGATGGAGGCGATGAGGCCGAGGGTGGTGATGCCATGGAGACAGACTCATGAAGATACGTCCAATGATGTGTGATATGGAGATTTAGCAGGCAGTACAGCACGGCAGGGCGCACGCTTGTCGTAACTATTCACATGCACGATGTAGTAGATCACGATAACGGTTTGCCAATGAGGGGTTGGCTATGAAAATGAAACGAATATACCATCAATGCTGTTCCCTAATTGGACTCTGAAAGAATATTCGACTCGAAATATAACTCGACTGTAGAGAGGATTGAACGCAACCAAAGTTTGGCTGGCTGATCGTAGCCTTCATCACGTGACGCTGTCCCTGAGTTGCGGGCCGCATGCGCGAAATCTCGCCGGAGCTCCAGCAACCTTCAACAACCCGCAATCCGCTCAACACCGTCTCTACCCAACAACCCCACCACACATCCCCCCATCACAATGGCAGCCGCGTGGAAAGCAGCAGGTCTCTCGTACGCCGTGCCCCTCCCATTGCATCCCGGCAACGACTTCAAGCGGCTGCTATTAGAGACGAAACTGACTGATGAGATAGCTACAACCGCTACGTCGCCATCGCCGCGCGCGTTGTGCGTCGCTCGCTCAACGATGAAAAGCGCATCATTGCCGAGCGAAGGGGCGAGAGCGAATTGAGGTTCGCCAAGTGGGAGGTGAGTCTGCAATGGGCTGCTGAAGAGGCAGGGTGGTGAAAAGGAAGGGCTTTGGGGCTAACGTGGTGGACACAGAATGGCAAGCAGGGCGAGAGCAAGGAATTGAACGCTGCGGCGCTTCAGGCACAGGTTGATGCGCAGAAGACCGGCGCATAGACGGTGTCCCTCGAGGACGGTGAAGGTTAGAGGCCAACCGAGGATAGGAACGTGTGTATATTCTGTACTATCAATCAGAGCAGAAGGGGATTGCGAGACCAAAGCATCGGGGATTGAACTCTGTTGCGCCTTCTATATTAATCTCCCTTTTTGATCGTGATACCATGTGACGTCAAATTTGAGCCTCATCCAGACTAATGTTGGATGGTGCTGGTCTTCTCTCTGTCTCTCTTCTCTTTCTCCATCCCTGGGCTGTCAACTTCCACAACCCACTCGGCTCCCACTTTTGCCCGCATCGGAGGCACGACTCCACCTCACCAACATGGCAGATGCAGCAGATGCGTCTCTAGGCCACAAAAGCACAGCCCTCGCCCAGGACACTATTCCAAAGTTTAATTATCCCAGTAATTCCCTCTCCTGATGACCTGTTCCCGGGAAATGTTGGTTTGCGGTACTGATGTAACGTCTAGGTTCCGCACACGCGCAAGACTCCGCACTTGCTGCGACGAAGGGGACTACATCGACTGCCACTCTCCCCTTGAGACAATCGCGATCATGGCCGCATGGGAGTGTGCAGCCCAAGATTCATGATGTGACTGAGAAGTTTACCCGGGCTTGTAATGGTGGGTTTTCCCTCTCGGACACCTTTGAGGGTGAACAAGGGTGGGGCTATCGCGGGGTTGTTTGTGAGAGAGATGTTTGCCTGTAGATGGGATGGATGCACCGCTTACTGCCTGGTTTTGTGCAGACTGAAAAGAGTTTGCTAATATATTTCAGCCCTCGAAGTCGGGCAGCTTGTCAAAGATGAGTACTTTACGCTCTTCGAGTCCATTGGGGCTATTGAGGTAGATATCCTCCCTCCTTTTCCTTGTCCATGTCATCCTCAGAGTGAAGTAACCTTGCGAGCAGATCATGGACTCAAAAATGGACAGCGGCTTCCTCGAACCTGGGGAGACGCTCGAAGACAACTACGATACTTTAGGACCCCTACTCCCAGAAGAACTCATCGGCATCATGGACCAACTTCTCTGCCACGAAATGGCGTGGCACTCGGGCTACCCCCTGTCCCAAACCCTCTTCACTTCAGTGTACATCGATAAGCTCCTCTGGCCAGAAGTCAAAGTGCTAGAGCAGGCGCAGTTTTATCGTGGGGACATTGCCAACGCCAAACGCCCTGGACCATTTCTCGAGATACTGAGAGCGTATTGCTTGGCCGTGATCAAGGGGTGTGACTTTGTGATTGCGAAGATTACGAGTAGGGATTACTTTGAAGAGGAGGACTTTTGTACGCAGACGTATAATCGCGTCTTGTTTGTGAGCATGCCAATGGATGTGTTTTTGAGGGAGTTGGATGCTGCTATGGAGGTCATACAAGACACCGACCTACAAATTGACGACAGTCTCAGAGCAGCCATATTATCTCGCCTAGAGTTCAGGCAGTTCTTCCTCCGCGCTCTCGATATCGATCTATCACTCAGCCAAATTCCCTATTCCTGGCCTCCCGTCCTCGAAAGCCTTCATGCCATCAACGCTTCACATTCACTTGGCAAACCCGTCGCCAGAGCATTCAGTTCGAAATTGCAAAGACGTCTGGCATCCACTGTTCCACCACGTCCCATTGTCGAGCTTTCTTTTGCTGACGCATTAAAGCAACTGCATAACATGATTTCCGACTGCACAGAGGCCACCCGCTTCGCTGACCTCCCTCAAGACCCACTGGAATATCAATCCTTTCTCTGGTACTTTGCTTCTCGCAACCCGCCGCCACTGGCCTATGCTAGATCCTACCTGGCAGCCCTCCTCTTTCATCCCGATGTTCTTCAATCTTCTGTGTCGCTCCCCCTAGCTGACGTGAAATCACTCGTCCTCCCCGCTTCCCCTATCCTCGACCCAGCAAACTGGGCTCTCTCACCTCCCCGCAATCCAAACCTGGCAAAGCCCCCACGCCTCCAGTTTGCTATGCTCATTGACGAATTTGTCGAGCGGGCAGGCAACGCCTACCTCGATCTATGGGTCTGCCTAGGACAGAATCGCTGCCGACTGCGTCGCATGCTCACCCACGTCATCGTAGGCTGGGATCTCCTTCAAGCCGACGCCTCGCTCATCGACACTGACATTGCGCGCGCCGCCGAAATCCTGCGCATAGGAGACGAGATTATGGACTTCAGTCTGAGCACGTGGGTCTACGCGCGCAAACTGTGGATGATTGAGCGTGTCATCCACATGGGCTTCGAGCAGGACATATACCTCCCCGACGAATTCGGCGGCATGTATCTCTTCCTCTCGCTCATTGCCACCCGGCGTAAAGAACTCCTCACACGCATCGACTCCTTCCTGCACACCCGCCGGCTCCACCTCACCTCCACACAACGCTTCCGCGATGCCCAGGACCTAGACCACAGCATGCAGCATCTCCAGAGCCTCCTCGCCGAAGCGGAAGCAACGTCCTGCCTCGCCCTCGCCCTCGCCCACTTCTACACTGCGCTGCTGTATCTCGGCCTCCTCCCCCTCCCCCATCGCCCCTTCAGCACAGAACAGCTCCGGTACGAACTCCGCATGAAACCCTTTCTCGCCCTCCAACCGCCCGAAGCCCCGCCCTTTGCCGAGTTCAAAACTCACACTCAGCCCCATGGCCCGTTTAAGGCGCCCGATCCTCGCTTTGCTGTCCTCGTGGCGGATCCGCAGAGTAGCCTCTGGAACGAGATGGAGATGCCGTTGCGGCGGGCAAAAGAGGCGTGGGCAGAGGTTAGGAGGATTGGGGCCGGCGCGGCAAGGGCGCGCGGCGTGCAGGCTGCGTGGGGAAGCGCGATTCAAAGTACGTTGGCGAGTTGTGTGGCGTTGGGAATTGCGATTGCGGGGGTGAAGAAGGCGGTTGCGAGGCGAGGGAGAGGGGAAAATGAGGACCCCAGGGCGTTGGCCAAGGGGCTTCAGGTAGAGGTTCCCGAGGCGGGGAGCGGGAAGAGGTATGCGGAGGGGTGGGTCGTGGTCAAGATTGCCAAGATATAAAAGGAGAAAATGGGGTTTTTGTAGAGGGCGCGCAGTGAGGATATCGGGTTCTTTGGTTTGGCTAGCAGAGGAGCGTTGCCCATGCTGTAGTGATGGTAGTCTAGATCCTCGACGTTTGTACGGGAATGGAGAGATTACATGGGATCATATGGGCCGAAAGACGAAGGACATTGGGGAGTTACAGTACTTGATCTGGATCGAGGTAGAGCTGAGATTGTGGGGGTTACCCATGTTAACGTTATCAAGTAATCCAATATTCTGTCTGTTGTTAGACTTTTAAAGGCTCAACACAACGGTTCATCCACTTACACTGTATCCCTTTAACCACCAATCTCACCCTCCACACCACCCCCACAGCAACACTAACAGACCCAACCCTGATCATACACCCAGCTCTCCATACTACCCAAATCCAACCCTCACCCTCCTACCCCCGAATCAAAACTATCCTGAAATTAGAAAGAAAGCAGCCAAACAGGAAATAACAAGACAAGCACCCCGGTGTCTGGAAAACAGTAGTACTTTTCCATTCTCAGCACAGTTAAAAGATGTCGGAAGGCTGCTTTGGGTGGTGTGTGTGCGGTTGTGGAGGGTTGGTTTGTTGGGGGTTGGGGTTGGGGTTGGGTTTGGTGTATTGTACTGGACCGGACTGTATTGAATAGGATTATTGGACTGGGCTGGACTGGACTATACTATAATACCATACTGGACTCGGGAATTGCTATTCCTATCCACCCCATACATCCACACAACAGTACATCACTCTTGATTTATATCGGCATTGTATCATCCATCTAGCAGTTCAAAACCAATTCCCATTTCTTGGTACGAGACATATTAGGACCTATCTACAAGCACGGCATGCAACCCCATGCCCAGCACTACCCCTTATACTTCCGCAACGTGCGCTCGCTCACTCTGCGGATACTCCTTGCGCTGAGACTGCGCTCGTTGTTGAGTTTGGCTTTGATGGTGGCTTCATTGAGGAGTCTGGGGGTTGTTTGGTTAGTTTTGGGGGTTGCTGGGTTTGGGGAGGGGGTTTGCGGTATGAGGGTTTGCGGTATATCAATTGTTATTAGGCATTCAGCCCACATAACCGCTACCAACAAAACCCATCCGCAAAAAATATAAACTTACTCTTGCATGAAAAGCATGTAGTTTAAATATATCTACGAGCACGTTAGCAAAGATTTTTAATCCCCGGCACGAGTACATGTGTTCAATCCACCAAATACCACAGAAGTTGGATGTAGCAGAAGCAGAACCCAAAAGACGTATCGACGTGAAAACAAACCAAACCACAGCAAACTTACCAAAATATCCACATTTCTGCTAACACTGCGATTTGCATGCGCTTTTATGATTTTGCGCAGCGTGGCGCGGGGGTAGAGGGTTTGTGGCATTCTTCTTTTATCTTCTTTTCTCTTTCCTCTCTCTCTCTTGCCCTTTCCCGTTCTCTTCCCCAAACACAAATCCAACCCTAATCCCCTACTATCCCCTCTAATCCAGAGCACTCTCCTAACCACACGCGAATCCCCTCGTTCCAGATAACCTGCGTTTTTGCACCGGGCCTTGCTGTCCCGGGGGATGCGTATCGCGGTACGGGCGTGTCGCGTGGTGTACGTTGCGAGCGTGATTGTGGATTGTGATCCTGATTGTAATCGTGGTGGTGTTGGTGTTGGTTGTGTATCTCGTATTTCGCACTGCACGTACAACGCTCAATGTTTAATGTTCAGTGTTTATGCATGTTGGACATGGGCGGGTGATGGAGTGTGGGGGTGTAGGTAGAGGTTAGCCTGTAGGGCGTGTGGTGCGTCCGTGCGCAAGGGAACGATGCGCTTTTCAAACGCGTTGGCACGTGATGGTTTAGAGCTGCGCCTCCGGTAAGACGAGACGAGGACCTGACATGAGTGCGGCAAGGAGGGCAGACAGAATACATGGTAATGCGCATAGCATGCCACGGAAATACAATACCTGCAGTTCGTCGTCATTAACAAGTCACATTTCGCATTTCACAGCGTGCCCAAGCTCGAGCAACAGCATCAAACATGGCAAGAAATACTGTACGTACAACACCTACGCATTGCACATGATGAACCGAAAAGACTTCTCCGAAGAGACAAAACATCCATGTTGGGGAAACTATCACAGGATAATGTTACACAAAGCCCCCCAAGCCAAAGAACAGAATATTCTTTCTTCCTTGTACATCTAAACTGCGCTGGAAATTGCTGTATTTACACTTTCAGGCCCAATTCCTGAGCATAGGGCAGCACAAACAGGTCACCCACAGTCGATACTGAGGCCTTGCTCTCGAGTAATTGCTTGGCAGCCTGGTCGTTTCATTAGCACGCGTTGCGGTAAAAGCGGATTGTAGTAGTCTCACCTTCTTGACAGCCTCTTCCGAGACGCCATCAACGGCCTTGGCAACGTCGTCAATCTGGTACGGTTGGGTGTTGTGGATGAGACCGTTGCCAGTGAGTTCGAGGCCGGCGCGGATGTCCTGGCCGTACTCCAGCTCCTTGAACTTGGCCGCGGCCTTTGCCTTGGAGAACTCTTCGCTTGAAATCTCGCCGGCGGCAATCTGTTGGATGGCCTTGACGACAGCACGAGCGGTCTCGGCGACGGCCGGAGCGGATCCTGTAATGGTAGTGTAGAGAAGACCGGCGTCGGAGTAGATGGCGCTGGTAGTGGCGACCTTGGCTCCAGGAGCAGCAGCGTGGGCGAGCTTGGTGAAGCCTGGCGACCACTTGATCGAGGACTGACCGCCAAGGAGCGAGCTGAGGACAGCGATTTCGGGCTTGTACGACTTGCCCGTAAACGAGCTGGAGCCGGGGAAAGCGATGACGACGGTGTTACCTCCAGCGTGGGCAATGCGCTCCTCACCACCGTAGTACTGGCTCTCCGCAAGAGTAGCGCTTGACTCGTCGATGGGTTTGCGGGGAGCGTCCTGGAAGAATTCGCCTACCCACTTAGAAAATTCGGCATGCTCGACACCATTGGCAACGACGGCGAAGTTGGGGCGGGCGTAGGCGATGCGGGAGTAGTATTCAATGGCCGAGGCATCGAGGTACTTTGTGTATGGAATTGTCGAGGACGAGGCGGTTGGGACACCGAGGCCGCGGTGGAAGGCCAGGCTGTGAACCGAGTTGGTAGCCATGGCGGTTGTGTCGGCAAGGAAGCGCTGGTGGGCGAAGTGGATCAGAGGGAGGACCTCCTCATTGTAGATGTGGGCTGCATCAAGCAGCTGTCAGTGGGCGTCATGCACGTCATGCCGTGGAGAGCGGGAAGAAGAGTGAGGGAGAAAGAGAGAGACAGAAAGAGAGAGGGGCGCATACGCAGGTACTTTGTCGAGCTAGCCACCTCGCCGAGCAGCTCGACAAAGTAGGGCAGGTCATCGCGCAGGAACTTGGCCTCGAGCACCAGGTTCTCGCGCGAGTGGTGGGCGTTGAGGGCGGCGCCCAGCAGTTCGGATTCGCGGACAATGCGCAGTGTCGACCGTCGCTCGGTTCCCTGTTGGTGTGCAATTGCGCATCAGCGAGAGCTCCTATGCGAATGAATACCATGGACCTATGCAGTCTACAATCCCTCCTCCTCGTATCCCTCCTCCTTCTGCCTCTCCCTCTCCTCCCTCGACATGGAACGTGGAATTGGCCTACCCGGAAAGCAAAGTTGGCAAGGCCCTCGGTCAGGCCGGGCAGCGGCTGGAAGCGCGTGCCTGCCTTTGCGACCAGGGCGAGCGTCGTGGTAGGGCCGGAGAAGTCTCTGCTGGCATACTTGACGCCATCGGCCTCGCCCGTCTGGTACTGGAACGAGCCCGAGGCGGGAGCTGCAAGTCCACGGCGTTGGATGGCCGGGCGGACGGCCTGTTGGCGGGCAACACGCTGCGCAGCCCGGCAGGTGGTCGATCGTGAGAGCATTGTGTAGAAGACGCCGGGCGGGGGGCAGTCAATGGGGTGGGCGGCGGCAATGGATGGCGTTGATGGGAGGGGAACACTCTCTCTCTTTGGGCGAGGGCTGGGTCATCCATGGTCCCAAGTTGAGGTTTCTCTGGTTCGCTTGCCAAGCCCCAATTCCGCACGGTCACGGCTTTCGTTGGACGCTCAGTGGTCACTTGCAGGCCTGGCTTGGTCACTTACCTCAGCCGCTAGTTAGTCATCACATCTTTTGGGCTTTGGGAAGGGCGCTGCTATTCGATTCTTCGATTCCTCTATTCTATAACCATTCCTAATTCCTATCCTTGCTCCCTCCTACACCGGCAGCAGCTGCAACGGACTGACTCTATAGCTCTTCTCAACTTCTGCTGCTCTGCTCAATCTCAAGAGATACAAAGCTAATGTCTGCCCGGTAGTCCTAATAGTAAAAACCCTGGATATTTGGCAAATATCTAGGCAAAAGAAGAAAAAAACGTCATGTCTCACACTCAGCGCGAAACTCCGGTAAGAATATGATTGCGCCCGCGCGCCGTGTACATAGACAAAGGAACAGTCCAAGGCCAACACGCTTCTAGGTTCTTGCCGAGCTCTGCACCCACTTGGTCGAGGACGTCTATGGTGAATTGGCAGCGGTATGTCGAGTCGTGCCTTCTTTTGCGCATACATATCCCCACAGCATCACAGCATCATGTTATGCGACTCGCGCTGCTCTGTCGCAAATGCTGGTGGGAGTTGGCAGTAGCAATTACAGTTGGTCTGACTTCTCCTAGCGGGTATACTCGATCCTCGCCCGCCATGGTCGCCAAACGCTGGCAGCAATCGCCCGCGCCTCCTACCTCACTGGCCGCCAAATCAAATACGGCCTCGTCATTCTCCTCCAGCAACACCTCGTCTTCCACTCTGGCGACCATACGCCCGTGACCTACTATGAGATTGACTGGCAGAACTCGTACAGCATCGTGCGCTTCGGCAAGGTCACTAAGCTCGTCGAGGATCGCTTTGGCAAAAAGGCCGCCAACGTCATGTCCAACCTCCTCGCGCTCGGCCACACCCGCATCGCAGACCTGAAAGAGGCATATTTCCCATCAGAGACGGACAGTGGCGATGAGTCGGACAGCGGCATAGTGAATGGAGCTGGCAACAAGCGAAAACGGACGAACGGCACACAAAGCAACGGTGCAGTCACCAGTGCAAATGGCACGGCCAACGGTGCGTCTTCTCAATCAGACGGCGTGAACGGCGCAGCCCGTGTCAACGGCACAGCCCATGACGACGAAAACAAAGACGATGAAATCAAATCAGCCGATGAACTCTACGACGTCATCAGAGAATTGATCGAGCGTGGATGGGTCAAGACTGTCACTGATCTACAATACCTCTCTCCGGGTGATGTACACGACTGGGTCACACAAGAGGTCCTCGAGCAAGAGTATAAAGGCATACAACCAACGGGCATCAAAGAAAAAGACAGAATGCTTCGATTCATTCTGCAGCGCAAGCGAGAGATGCGGGACGCGTGGTTGACGGCGCCTAAATTCTCTCGTTCCCAGTCCAACGGCACAGATTACGGCAGCAGCAACAAACGGGTAAAGATCAATGGAAGCAACGGTTGGACGGCAGGTGGTGCCCAATCGAATGAAGACAGCCTTGTCGTCCGCGTCAACCCCGACAAAATCGCCGTTGCCATGCGCACCGAACAGCTCGTACGGCTGGTCGAGCAACGCTCTGGATACGTGACCGCGCGCATCTACGAGACCATGCTGCGAATGGTAGAAGCTCACACACCATGCTGCTATGAGGAGTTTGTAGATCCTCCCTTGCCAGGCGGTCAACAGCCCGAAGAAATTGCCCGTGACCCTCATACGCTCGTAACCGCGCGCGATGTCGCAAAACATCTCAGCAAAGAAGTCGACGTCTGTGAAGGCCTGGACCCCAATGCGGTTGTATTAATCACTCACAAAGGGCACGTACGCAGCTCCAACATTCTCAGCCAGCCCATAGATCCCACCAAGCTCACCCTAGACGAAAAGACACGACTAGTGGACAAGCATATTATGCTCCTATCTGATGACCCATTTCACTTCGTCACGTGGCATTCACGCGCTGGCTTCTCGCAATGGCACATTGAGTTCAACGAGATTGCCAAGCAACTCATCCAAACCGAAGTCGAAAACACCATATACGCGAGAAAAGGCAAGCTTGGCGTCAAGCTGATCCGCGCATTGCGCAAGAAAGGCAGGCTGGACGAACGCGCCACCTGCAACACCATGATGATGTCCGCAACCGACATTCGCGGCATCATCAACGACCTCACTGTCCAAGGCTTCGTACAGACTCAAGAGATTCCCAAAGTCGAACGCAGAGAGGCAAAACACTCACTGCATCTCGTCTGGTATGATCGCCAACGCGCTCGCGAGAAACTCCTACATGATACGTACAAGGGCATGGTTCGCATACTGCAGCGCATCGCTTTCGAACGCGATAAAGTCCAGCCCCTGCTTACCAAGGCTGAGCGCTCCGACGTGGTTGGCAACGAGGAGAAGTGGCTTAGCAAAGCCGAGCTCGGTGCCCTGAAGAAGTGGAGGGAGGTGCAGGAGAAGCTGCTGTTGCAGTTGTTCAGGGAAGATGATCTCGTGGCCACGTTGCGCGATTTCTACGGTCCGCTCGCCTCTACTTGAAAGCAAGGAGTTTGTAGGGCAGAGATGGGTTTCCCTGGCGTGGATCTGTTTGATGAAGGATCTTGATGGTCATTATTTCTGTCCGTCTCTTTATCGCGCATGCTCGAAGAAAAGGCGCCTCTGTCATGGCATTGCTTGATACCCCCATTAGCATTCAGGATAGAGTTTATTTCCTTGGCAAATATCGATCGATCTACTTACTCTGTATGTTGCAGTCTCTATGGCAACCTACAAAGCATAGAATGGAATCTGTATCGCGTCCTGTCCTGCTGACTCTTCTCTACCAATATAGCGACATGTCTCACAGTATGAGCGCTACCATGCTATTCTACGTGAGACAGCATCGTATCGAGTTGCATGGTGCGTTACGAAGAGTATACGATGTGTCCGTGCGCAAAGGCTACTGTTTTCCCTCTTAGTTATGCTCGAGTCTTACAAGACGAGGCATTGTGCAGGCCTGAAATCATTACTTGAACTCCTGCATATAGTTCTGTCGTTGGCAGTTTAGTGCAAAGACACTTAATGCGCTGCTCCAGCTGGCTCTGACGTACGGTTGCGAGTAGAGGAATGATGTCGTAGCATTGTGGGGTTGAGATCGAGTTTCCCATAAATCACCGAGGTTGATCTGGGGAAAGAGGGACCGTGCATCTTCCCCGCAAAGCAACACTCCAACTCAAGCATCAATCCACGACTGAAGCCGAGCGAGTCATCATCATGTCTGAACTACTCTTCCGGTTAATTGTTCGCACTGTCTGTTTGCCAGATGTCTTTCTAACCTACCCAGACCGCTAAGACAAAGCCTCGAACGACATAATCGTCCTTTTGTAAAATCCCACACAGTTTGACCAATCCCACCATGTCGCAACCCATGAACTTCTCCCTCCCAGATGATTTGAAGCAATTTCTCGCCGACCTCGACAAATTCATCGATGAGAAAATCACCCCCCTCCAGATGCAAAATGACAACAACCGCTTCTTCGACCACCGCCGCGAACACGCCCGCACAGACTGGGACAATGGCGGCCTGCCGCGCAAAGAGTGGGAAGATTTACTGAGTGAAGCGCGCAGACTGGCTGATGAAGCTGGTTTCTACCGACTCTCTCTGCCCAGGCAATATGGCGGGCAAAACGGGGCCGAGGATGGACGTGGCAGCAACCTCTGGATGGCGGTCATACGCGAGCATTTAGCGGCGAAAGGCCTGGGTCTGTTCAACGACTTGCAGACGGAGCATTCGGTCGTCGGTAACTTCCCGGATCTGGTCATGCTGATGAATTTTGGGGGTGAGCAGCAGAAGCGTGAGTTTATTCCCGCGCGGTTGGAGGGCGAGTTCAGGATGACGTTTGGGTTGACGGAGCCGGGGCATGGGTCCGATGCGACGCATATGGAGACCAAGGGGTTTTTGGAGGTTAGGAATGGGGTGAGAGGTTGGCTGTTGAATGGGTATAAGAAGTGGCAGACTGGTATGCATCATGCGACGCACTGTTCTATTTTCGCCAGGACATCTGGCAACGACGGTGAGGTAAAGGGAATTTCCTGCTTCATCGTCCCGATTGATACTCCCGGACTCAAAGCCGAGTCCTTCGAATGGTGAGCTTCCCACTCCCTCTTCCCAATACCCACAAAGCCCCTCCCCCTCGCCCCCTGTCCTGACAACAACCAAAAAAACCCAGGACCCTCAATATGCCCACCGACCACGCCACCGTCTCCCTAACCAATGTCTGGATCCCCGAAACCTCCGCCCTCGGCCCCCTCCACAACGGCCTCGCCGTCGCCCAAGCCTTTGTTCACGAAAACCGCATCCGCCAAGCAGCCTCCTCCCTCGGCGCCGCCCTCTACTGCATCCAAGAATCTGTCGCCTACGCAAACTCCCGCGCCCCCTTTGGCACCCCCTTATCCCACAACCAAGGCATCCAATTCCCCCTCGTCGAACTCGCCACCCAGTGCGAAATGCTGCGCCAACTCGTCCGCAAAACCGCCCTGGAAATGGACGCCATGCCGCACGCTGATATTGAGCGCCGTCTCGGTGACAAGGTCAGCATGTGCAATTACTACGCAAATCGTCTGTGTACCCAGGCCGCCGATCAGGCTATTCAGGTCCATGGTGGGAATGGGTATAGTCGCCATTGGCCGTTTGAACATATTTGGCGTCATCATCGTAGGTATCGGATTACGGAGGGCAGTGAGGAGATTCAGATGAGGAAGGTGGCGGCGTATTTGTTTGGATTTGGGGGTAGGAGGAGTCTGGGGGATGCCAGGGAGGGGCGGGCGAAGCTGTAGACTCTTCTCTCCGGCTTCGTTGTTTTGGGTTGAAGTATGTGTTTTTTTTTGGCTTTGATTGTTGGTGCTGCTGCT